GGGTATGGATATGCGTACGGGTATCCCAGACGCGGCGTGCCGATGCAGATGGCGTGCGCGCGGAACTGGCAGCCGGGCAGACGCAGGTTGGCGTGGCATTCGGCTGGGTACTCGCTGGGCGCGCCGGGCCATTCGAAGTATTCTTTGGATGCCTTGTCTGCTGCTGCTACTTCAGCGGCTGATGGTGCCGACGGTCCTGTTGGTTCTGGCGCTTCTGGTGCCGGCGACGGGGTCTGTTTCTCGGCTGGTGGTGGTGAGGGTGCGGGTGTTGGGCTTTTCGGGTCTGCTGGTGCCGGTGGTGCTGGTGTTGCCTCTACCTCTACATCCACTTCCACCTCCAGTCCGGGCGTGATCTTGTTCTTGTTCTGCGGCTCTTGCTCGACAACGACGATCTCAGCCTCGCTGAACTTATCTGGGCTCTTTCCCGGCGTTTGCATGCCAGTATTAACTAGAGGTTGCGGTTGCGGTGCCTCGGGAGGCGACTGTTGTCGTGCCGCCGCAGGTTCTAGAGCCAGGGACCGCGGCGACGGGGTGGCCATAGGTGTTGGACCCCGAGTTATCGCCCGGGCTGGAGCCAGAGCCGGGAAGATAGGGGCTTTGGTCGATGGCTTCCGGGTTTTGTTGGCCGTTACCATGTTGTGATTGTGGTTGTTGCTGTTGTTGTTTGCCTCGTGCGTGATCTGAGGCGCGGGAGGGGGAGGGTTCTGTCGAGGCTGAGCGGTCCGGACCAGATCTCTGGGACTGATAGTCTGCGGGTAATCAAACGGTCTTATATTCTGATTCTGAGCATGGTTACCTATCTGGACATCCCCCCTTGTGGTGAGGCTAGCCTGGATAGGTACTACGTTGGTAGCACTGACAGGCGCCCTTGGCATGTCGGCGTCTACCCGAGAGGCCTCGAGCGTTCGGAGCGGTTGGGCCATCTGAAACTGAAGCTGACCCTGGACGTGAGTCAGCGGCTGGGAAGCGCCGTATAACGCTTCCATCGGCGCCTGGGGATGATGTGGAGGAAAGCTGAGGCTACCGTCATATTGGTCGAGAAAACTAAGGTTGTTGCCCTGCAGTGGCATATCGACAGCAGCATTAAACCGCCTGAGGTGCGGCGTCGAGAACCGTGGAGTGCTCAGCTGTGCTTGAGGGAATGCTTGGGGAGGGAACGCCGGCTGATCACTATAGTCGGCTATCATAGAATTCGGCGGCATGGGCATGAACGCATTAGCGCCGCTGTTCATATGAGGGCCGTGGTACTGGTTGAGGTTGAGCTGCTGCGGTAGTTGATGAGGCGGAAATCCGGTATACTGGTAGTGGTTAGGCTGCCAGGGTTGCTGCCACTGGTCCATTTGGGGCTGCTGTTGAATGATATTCGTCTGGTAGGGGGTGCCTTGACAGAGCCGTTTTGGCGATCCCGCCTGACCGGAACGTTGTCTCTTCATTGTTACGGGGACAGGTTTGTAAAATACAATCTAGTGGAGCCAGGCACCAGATGCACGTAGCAGGTAAGGTATATAGTTTATGGATGGGTTGCAGGGAGTTCCTTATATCCCTTTTGTCTGGGTGCCGGTTGAATTGTGTTGATGTTTGCGTGTTGTGGGGGGCTTTGAAGGTAATGGACGGTGGCAGTCAGAGAATTTCGACGAGAGGGAGATGATAGACGGGCGAGAGTGAATATGAGAAAGGTAGGGTAGCGCTAGGAGTGTATGTTAGATGGGTTGTTTACGGAGTACCTATCGATAATTCGAAAATTGTGTATGGCGGCATTCTTATCTGGATAGGAACTGATGAGCAAGTAATGGGGCTCTGCACGGACAATAGATGACAAGACATGCGCGGGGAGCAAGGTTCTGACAATAGCAGTCACCACGTGTGATAGGCCAACTTAAAAGATCGCAGCAGTAGGCACGTTGCTGGGGCAAACCGCTTGTCATACTGTCTTAGGCGGCTAAACTCTATCCAAGGGAGACAATGAGCAAGCACCTGCTCTGGCCGCCGGCCTCTTTATTCACTAACCTGGGATAGATTTGTGGTGTTCTATCTCATACATGCACCGTCAACCTCATTAGAGCTAATATTCTTTATCATGCTTTTGGTATCTCCCAGCTGTACCATGGTTGCATCACGGCTCTTTGAGCCACTGCTTGGAAGCCAGCCAAGTTTTGCCAAACCATCATGCGGATCGGCAAGGAAGGCAAACACATAATCCTGCATTCTCTCAGCGACTTGCTTCTGGATATCTGTCGCTCCCCCTGAAAGATTGTAGGTACCAAATATCATCGGCAGATCAGAGCCATGGAATGCACCCATCCAAGGGTAGGGAGTAATATTAGAATAATTCCCAACGTATTGATATCGGTAGGTTGTGAGGTTGTTGTCGGCACGTACATTTGTAGTATTGTAAGCCGGGCAGACGAAGTCGCTCAGAGTTCCTTTATCAACTTTCGTTTGGTTAGGGCCAGCAACCAAGTTGCTAAGAGGATATTCGGTAAGGCTTGACTGCTCATTGAATGTAGTAGACACGAGAGCCGGGACTTGAGAAATCAAGCCTTTTGCTGCCCTTTCAGTATAATTCTTGAATATAGTCTTGCTGTCGGCCGTGGGCCGAAAGAACAGTGACGGCTCAGTATCGTTGTCTCCATATTGGCCATAGAAATTCGAGACAAGGGTGGCCGGAACTTGCTGCATACATTCTAACTCTGCTTCTACATCTTGAGGAAAATCGCAGCCAAGCTTCTTCGCCACGAAGCTGAAATTTGTTTGCAGTGCATTGTCTCCCTGAGCAAATTTACGCATGGCTGTTCCTGACATGAGGAAAAAAGCAGCAGCCAGGGGGTCGTCTGGGTATGCGAAGTTGAGAATGTCAACTGCTAAGGCGCCTGCAGAGTGCCCCCATAGAGTAATTCGTTTTGGATCCCCTCCGAAGGCCGCGATATTCTGGTACACCCATTCCAGTGCAAGCCTCTGATCGAGCACGCCAAGATTCTGGGTTTCCAAACCGGGAGAATTAGGAAACCCAAAGATATTGAGTCTATAATTAATCATCACCATTATGTGCTTCTGTGATCGACCTATCCAGCCGGATGGATTGTGGTAGGGGACACTCAAACCCCCATTCTTGAAACTTCCACCAGGAACAAACAATCCGACTGGAAGCTTGTCGCGGTCAGTCGCATTGATGGGGGTCCAAACAGCGAGACTGAGGCAATCTTCGCCGGTCGTCTGCGCCATCTCTCCAGCAGAATAGCTCTGGCCTCCAGGAGAGATAGAAAAGTTCGTCATATTGGAGTTCCACAAGGATAGTGTAGTTGTTAGGTACTGTGGGCATGGCGGTGGAAACCTGTAAGAATAATGATGTAGGCGAGATGCCTGACGTGATATTGGCGGTTTCCATCTCAGCTTGCCGACTGGAGGTTCTGCATAGGGGATGTTGCGGAATACTCTAACTTCTTCGTGGTCGGGTTCTTGGAGGCCGGTATAACTTCCCGTTGAGGTGTCAACTGTAAGGCGAGCATCTTTGTCTCCTACACAGGAAGAACTTTTGATGGAAAAAGCCGCGAAGGCAGTGAATACACCGAGAAATGACTTGGTCCTCATGGCTCGTAGTATGTATTATGCCACTAGAGATAGCATGTGCATTACAGCTTCTCTGGGAATATTCTGGATTGAACATTCGTTTTATATTTTGAATGAGAGTGCGCATTTTGCAATTCAATGCACCCCGTGCTCTAGGCCGCCTGCGTGCAGCCTGCAATGCAACTGTAGTTGACAAGGGGGAGTTGACCCCTCGTGCTTGTCGGCCACTCATCGTGTCACCAAGCCAATGGAGCAAATCTTCATTGGTCTTGCCATATTGACTCAAAGCCTCCAAGTATGGCGTAGCATTTCATGGTGTTATATCTCGTGTTTCTCGACCACGCTTGATCCTGCTAGCTATTAGGCTAAAGTGAGACAGACCAACGACGACAATGGGATTGTAAGAGAATCAACTACCGAAAGGTAACCCGACCGCACGGGTCAGGCGAGGCCATCTTCTAAATACTAATGCATGCTCTTATTTGCAGCGCGGCACCTATGCTGGTAGAGAACGCCTGTGAAGACTGCAGATGTTTCGTGAGCATTGTCAAGTGCAGTGCTATTAGATGCATCGAAAGCATCAGCTAGATGCCGGCGCCAGTAATAGCCCATATTGTCTGTCGATTAATTCAGGTCATGGAATATAGACTATGCTTGCAATCCCTCATCATTCGTAGTGCCTGAACGTAAATTGTAAGCGACATGAGAAGCAGTGAAAGAGCGATGAGTGAACAAGTTTATCTACTACTTCACTGAGTGGGAATAATACCACCTACCATACGTGCTGGCCTAGGTTCTTGGCGTTGATGGTCACTCTTCGTCATCTACGACTGTCCGTTTGCACAGCGTGCAATCCATATCGATTGTTAAATTCGTCTCACCAGATCATTTCGTAATTTTAACTCTTTAAATCTTCACCTGAGCGACTTATACTCTTGAACCCACTGAGTCCGCTCCTGTTGAGCATTGTCAACGAACTGAGTATAACGCCTCCCTACACAGCCTAGCCCCTGTCGTGTTTAAGTTAGGCAGCATAGCTGTGAAAATATAGCTTATATAGAAGCATAGACAATAGAAATGTAACAGAATACAATTTGATAAAGCCCACCGTCTTAGGCGTTGATGATTTGACGTGACGCAATTATAACACGCGTTGAAGTTGAGCGCACCGATCTAATTGACTTAGCGAAGATAAGGAAGCATAAGGTTCGGAGTTCGGCACTCGGAATACTTCGTACACTAGGTAAAGCTACCGCACCTAGGCAGCTGCTTGGATCTTCGCACTGTCTAGCTGCGCCTAACCTTATCTAAGTGGATAAGATACGGTACCGATCGCTTGGGACAATAGCGCAGGGTTAGTTGCAGCAAGCGCCCACCATTCTGCTCACCAGTCGCAGTGTTGAAATTTGATTATTTGATACTGCGAAATCACCGCCCGGTTAGCTCAATCGGTAGAGCGTGAGACTCTTAATCTCAAGGTTGCGGGTAAGTTTACATGACAAAAGCTAGCAACGTGGAAGACCCAAAACTAACTTGGAATCCGTAGGTTCGACCCCCGCATCGGGCTCAATTCCTGATGCCTTCCAGGTCACTGGGAGTAGCAACCATTGTTTTTTGCTTTTTTCTCCCCTTTCTTTGTTGACATATGCACGGAACTGAGTTTATTCATCCTCCGTATTTTTTTTCCTCATGTGCGAGATAGGCTGTAATTATCTCCCGTTGATAAACACCGGTGATGATACGGGATACTAGTAATTTGTATGGTAGATTTTAGCTAGGCACAAAGGATACAGTGTGGTAGCTTGCTCAAATACCGTGTAAGCCGGACTTCAAGCCTGCACATCAAAAGCCTTGGCTTCTTATTTAGTACAAGCTCCTTCAGCTGAGCTTGCTCAATCAGGTCCAACCAGCGCTGCCGCGCCTTATCAACAGACGTCACGACTTTAGACGACACGCAATCAAGTATGTCCTGATGGACGTCCGTTCATTATAGACGAATGCGCACTCGAGGAGGAATCTTCATGATCTCTCATCTCTCTATGTAATCAACTACGGTAGATATACTTCGACAACCATGGAGGACCAGCCACTGCTCCACGAGCGCCATAGCGACAATGAAGTCGTCGAGGCGACCGAGCAGACGCCGCTCATCGCCGCCGAGTCGTCTGCGAGCGGCCCCCAAGCCAACAGAGAAGGGCGTCTTCATTCCCTCGCCAAACGAGTCGCGGCGGCGCTGCAGCCTCGAAGGCCGGGAGCCGTTATGGCCGTTCTCTGTGTCATTATCTTCGTAGCATCGCTTACGAGCGGTTTCCAGGACATGCCCTTGACTAGGATCTTCGAGGACATCCTGTGTCGCCGGTACTACGACCAGATCCGCAGCAAAGACGAGCCCATCGACGAGGACATGTGCAAGGTCGACGCTGTCCAGTCAAAGCTCGCCTACCTTTTCGCCATTCAGGCGGCGCTGACCGCCGCCGTGAGTATTCTCGCTGCGCTGCCTTGGGGTATCGCTGCCGACAAGTTGAGTTTGACACTTATGTCTAGTCAGTATGATCTGTTCTAACTTGACCAAGAATCGGGAGACGTCCTGTCTTTGCCATCAGCATGACTGGTGTGGCTTTGGGGTTGCTCTGGGTTATGGCTGTAGGCTGGTTTAATCAAACCTTTGCGCCGCAGCTAGTCTTGCTTTCACCGATCGCATTTCTGCTAGGTGGTGGCAACCCAGTTTTAGCTGCCACTCTCACTAGTCTCGCGATAGACATAGTACCTGCATCCGAGAGGTGAGTTTTGCATCTCTCCCAATGTCCGAAGAGCCACTTCTGATACCCCCGCGTCTCAGGTCCGCTTGTTTCATGCGGATTCACGGTGCGAGCATGGTAGGGAATCTACTATCCCCAGCCTTAGCCTCTGTCATGATGTCTTCAACGGGGCCTTGGCCTCCGGTATTCGTATCGCTCCTAGTCATTGTGCTCCCAGCATTCGCGATCTTCCTAGTTCCAGAGACACTGGAGCCTAAATCCCAGAACGCAGAGTCCGATAACACAAGTCTTAAAGCACACGTTGTGAACGGCATTCGGGAATTGACGAGCTCGGCCCACGTCTTCGCCACTCCGTCGATGATCATCATTCTAATTATCACCATGCTGCAACTCACTCTCTCGCTGGGCACCTTCCAGTTCCTCGGCCAGTTCACGTCCAAGCGCTATCACATCCCGCTTGCGGAAACGGGGTACATCCAATCAGTCTATGGGATCGCCTTCAGCACCGTCTCCTTCTTCGTCCTACCTTTCTTCTCGTCGGCGATTCTCAAATCCAGCGCGCCGGCTTTTATCCGCTTCGACGACGACAAGCGACGCGATCTATTCCTCGCCCGCGGGTCGTACATAGTATCTTTGATAGCGACGCTTATCCTCGGGTCTTCCGGCTCTCTTTCCGGATTCGTGTTTGGCCTCGTCATTCTCGCGCACGGCGTGTCGGCCGAGGGCTTCCTCAAGAGCACAGCCACGTTTTACGTCACCGCAGAACAGCGATCGCGGCTGTACACTATGTTAGGCCTCGCGGCCATCGCCAGTAACTTATGGGCCTCGCCGGCACTTGCGGCGCTGTTCTCCCTCGGGATGAAGCTCGGCGGCACTTGGGTGGGACTGCCGTATTTTGGCATATCTGGCTTATGCGTGCTGATGTTCGCTATGTCTCTATTCATAAAGATACCCCGACCCTCTGATGCTGACCAAGAGTCCGCCCCCGAGGGCGTCGGCTCGGGATAATTACCATCCACAGCGTGTAGATCGCGCAATGTATCTTGTTTCCTCAGTGGGCATGATCGTCCCTGTTAATATCACCGAAATAGTAACACATAATTGAAGATTTCATCAGTACCATACTCCGCACTCAAATATGCCTTATATATGATAGTGCCTATACAATTGAAGTGCTTGGTCTGCCCATCTTTCGTGCATGCAACCTACTTTTCGAATTGTGCAAGCAATGATGAAAGCCTCGACTGCCTACCTGAACTTATCGAGTTATGATGGTGTGTATCCAGCAGCAGTATTAGAACAATGTGGTCCACAACACACACCAAAACACATTAACGAAGGGGGAAGTATGGTACTTGTGCGAGAGGGAGCGTAAGTCCTGCTGATCAGCTATCTGGTAAATATTGACACAAGGCTGGTTGCCGCCGACTGTCCGGTTGGCTGATTGCACTCTCCTTTTGCGTCAGATCCGTGCCTGAATTAGATCCTTGGATTAAGCGCCAATGTTTTCTGCATCAGCCCCCTATTGCGTCTTGGACTATGATTTTGAAGAAAAGCTTCGGCTCAATTGAGTCGTTGATGCCATTATCGGTTCACTGGTACAATGTACGAAGTACCCAAGGTGTATGTGCCAAGCTTACTCCGTACTTCGTACGTAGTGCTAGAACATGCCCGGGTAATACGGAGTAATTATGGCGAGGGCTTGATGTGGGTGTACTGTATGTACGTATGTACATACGAAGTAGGCCCCCACCACCCAGCAGAAGCCCATAGCTGCCTGGACGAAAGGACTTACGAGCGCTAATGCACAGTACTATATGTACTTAGGTACCTCGAACCGGTAATAATTACCTACTGAGAATCCTCGCTAACCAATGGATCCGTCGCATCATTTTCCTGGCATAACGACCTACTTACACACACCGAAAGTTGTGCGCTAAACAGATGTAAATCATAGCTTTAATATATGCACGTGGCTGCTGCCATGATCAGTAACAATATGTCGTGGTATGGAGGGTTTTATGGGCCATGGCAAACCCTCGGTCACTGATTTCTTGTTAAGCGGTCCGAAAAGAAACAGCATTGAGAACTAAGTTATATCAAACAGCATCTACGGAGTATGGCCACTCTATCATAATAGCGAATGAAAGCTAAATGAGCAATAATATTGCACAGTAGGTTGTCTATTCTTAGAAAACAAAGAGTAAGATTAGCCCGCTTACATTTATCGGAGAGGATGTAAAATTGATTTGATGCGTGACCGAGTGTGCTACAACGCAAGCACATCATTGGGGGCTTAAGATTGCCTATTGGTTGCAACCTCACCCTTCGCTTAACTAGGGAGGTATCGTACCAAATGTTAGCATTAGATAGACCTATGAGTTCCCAATCCCACCCTACAGTAGACCTACACGCATAGAAACACGTAGAACCGTGCAGCTTGGGGCATTAGAGCGGCTCAAGAACTTTACGGTAACGAGCTAACACTCGCTACTTAAGAGCCTCAGCTCACGCAGTAACCTATGATTCACACCTCACGACTCGAAGGCGGTCGCATACAGAAGAACTAAACACCTTGCCCCAAGAGAATTCTATCCGCTCTCAGATCTCCAGCCCCCCTCTAATTACCTGCAACCTTTCAAAACTCATGAGAGCTTCATCACTATTTCGAATAACAGTCCAGATACAAAGCGATTTGAATTTCGCCATGGCTGGTAACCCAGCATTGAAAAATCCGGAAAATCAAACTCCACAGGCAATTCCAGCGGATCAACAAGATGTACAAGCGCATAATGAAGACGATCATATGAGCGCTAAAGGCGATACCAACACGCCTTTCAAAACAAAGACCCCCGGTTCTGCAGAGAAGCCTGAGCAAGACAGCGAAAGAGAAATCGTTAATACTGCTGAAAAATCTGCCCGTGATGAAGCAAATTTACCTTCTCCAGAAGCCCAAAATGCTAGGCTGTTTAAAGCTACCAAGAATGGGGATGGTCAAGAGGTCCAAAATGCGCTGGACCAGGGCGCCGACATTCATACCTTGGCTGGGATTTTTGGAGAGACTGCACTTCATCTAGCTTGCCGTAAGGGTTACCCGGAGATTGTTAGGATCTTATTGAACCGAGGAGCAGATGTTATGAGGTGTGACAACGACGGATGGACCCCTCTTATTGCTGCCTGTTCGCAGGGCTCCGAGGAAATTGTTCAGTTGTTAATAGACAATAGCGCCGATTTGGAGACGCGGAATAATATAGGATTCACAGCACTGATATCCGCATGTTCTAATGGCTTCGATAAAGTTGTTCGGTTGTTAATTAACAATGGGGCCGACGTGAATCCCAAGAGTCGGGAAGGGCGGGCAGCACTAAACTTCGCATGTGCCAACGGTTTGCATCAAGTTGCTGTGTTGTTAATTGATAATGGAGCCGATATAAATTCTCAGGACAACGAGAAATGGTCACCTCTCATGTCTGCATGTTCTGGGGGCTTCGACGAAATCGTTCAGCTGTTGGTTGACAAAGGAGCCGAACTGAATACCCAAGATGATCAAGGATGTACAGCATTAAAGAGAGTATGTCACCGCGGCTTTGATAAAGCTGCTCGGTTGTTACTTCGCCATGGAGCCGATATAAATATTCTGGACAACAAGAAACGGTCACCCCTGATGTCCGCATGTTCAGAGGGCCTTGATACACTTGCTCAAATGCTTATTGAAAAAGGAGCCGACACGAATCTTCAAGACAATAATGGAGTGACGCCTCTGGCTGTGGCCGCCCGTTTTAGCAACTCGGCGACATTAAAAATGATC